AAATAATTTAAAAAAATTATTAAACACATATATATTTAAAAATATTGTACAATTATACGAAATAATTGCAATGCAATCCCAAAAGCACCCTACATGGGCATTTGTAGGCAATGTTTGGTAGAACCGGTGAGAGGTTCTTTTAGATTTCAAAAGTGTTAACTAGGGATGTCAACGGGTCCTACAGGACCAAGGAGTTACTCCCCATCCCTGTCCCCTCTTCCCTGCCATTGGCGGGGACTGGGATCCCCGTAAGAATTTTTCACGAGGGTAAATTTTGCCCATCCCCATTTCCCATTAATTAATATCAAAAAATATAAAACATTTCCCCATTTCCAGTAGCAGATCCCGACAGCAGCTCCAGGCTCTCCAAGCTCCAATAATAGATCTCGACAATAGTTTCAAGCTCCAGCAGCATATCTCGACAGCAGCTCCAGTCAGTAGGCTCCAGTAGTAAATCTTGACAGCAGCTCCAGGCTCCAGCAGCAGATCTGAAGCAGCAGAAGCCAAAAGGGAAAGGGAAAGTCGAAGGTAAGGCCGTGAGAGTGAGTGAGGAAAAACTGCAGAAGCAAGAAGGGGAGGGGAAGGTCGAAGTTGAGGTGAGACTGTGAAAGTTTGACTATTCGAAAGTGAGTGAGGGCTGTGAGGCGTCCGTGCTATGTGAGTGAGAAAGGGAAATGAATAAGGTTAGGAAATTAGGGTTGAAAAGAGGATGATGGGTTGGGTTGGGTTGGGTTGAATTGGGTTGAGTTGGATAAAGTTTAATTTTTATTGAATTGGGTTTGACTTTGGGTTTGGTTTTGGGTTTGATTTTGAAGATAAAATAAAATTTAAAATATAATTAATTTATATACATTTTTTTAATTTTCGCAGGAATGGGATCCTCGAAAGGCCTCGCAAGCGGGGAAAATTCCTTATAAAATTTTGTAGAGAAAATTCCTTCCATCGACAAGGAAGAATATTACTCCTCACCTTGCCCCCGTGACGAGAATTCTCACAGGATCCCGCGAGGATCGGGGTAAATTGCCACCTCTAGTTCTAACTGCACCAAATATTATAATTTATAAAAAATACTATAACTTTTCACAATTTAGTATTTTATTTCATTTCATTACAAAATCTCATGAGTATTGAATTGGTGTTTTTACATAGTTTCTCATTTAAATTTTAATGAAATTAATATATTATTTTTATTTTACAAAAATAACACTTTTACAACAGTTTTTCAAACGAAACTTCTATTAAAAGCTCCGACCACACCAAACATGCCCTAAAACAGCCGTAAAAGATACTTCGACCGTTTCTAACAGCCGTTAATTGGAAGGGTGTTTTCGTAAATTGGAACAGCAGGAGGAATCTTTTGATAGTTGCCAGATATGACGTGGTGTCTCGCTTTATATATAATATATATAAAAAAAAAAAAAAATTGAGGATTTCCTTCCTTGGGCGGTGAGAGAGGGCGGTCGCATTCGTCACGCCCCAATAATTTCTTTTGGACAATATCAACATGTGTGCGCCATCAATTACTTTTTTTTTTATATATATTAATTATATAATATGAT